TCTCTTTTGGTTCCAAATGAATTTTTGGATTGTTTTCTCTAGTTCTGTGAAGTATATTGTTGGAATTTCAATTGGCATTGCATTTAATCTATATAGTAGCTTTGGAAGTATGGCCATTTTCACTATATTGGTTCTTCCTACCTAGGAACAAGGGATGTCTTTCCATTTTCTTATATCCTCCTCGCTCTCCTTTTTCAGGGTGCTGTAGTTTTCAGCGTAGAGGTCTTTTGCTTCCTTTGTAAGACTGATTCCTAGATATTTCATTTTTTTGGATGCTACTGTAAGAGGAATTGTTTCCCTAATTTCTCTCTCAGTGAGTCTACTATTTGTGTACAAGAAGGCTATTGTTTTTTGAGTGTTTGAGTGTTTTTTGAGTGTATCTGGCTACTCTACTGAATCTGTCAATTAAGTCTAGAAGTCTTTTGGCCGAGTTTTTTTGGGTCTTCTATGTGAAGTATCATATTGTCAGCAAATAATGACAGTTTAATTTCTTCCTTTCTTATCTTTATTCCTTTTATTTCTTTCTTTTTTCTAATTGCTGTGGCTAATGTTTCCAGAACTATACTGAACAGGAGTGGTGATAGTGGGCATCCTTGTCTTGTTCCTGATTTTAGTGTGAAAGTTTTCAGTTTTTGACCATTTAGTATGATGTTCCTTTCACATTCTAAATATGATTGTGGGTTTTCCAAATTTTGTTAATTGTTATAGTTTCTCTTCATATATTATGTGGCTGCATATTTAGGTGTATTGAAGTTTCATATTGTTTTATTTACTTGGCAGATTGTTTGTTTACTATATGCTGTCTCTCTTTTCAATTAGTTTGCCTGTAAGATCTTTCTTATCCATTCATTTTTAGCCTTTCCAAATGCTTGTGTCTGTGTGTGCTTGTATGTTTCCTTTAAACAAGTTGGATAATTTTAATCCAATATTTTATTAAAATGTTTTTATTTGCTATGCAAACCACATTTTTCAAGCCTCAGTTGCCCCATCTGTAAAGTGGCTGGATTATCTCTTAACAGTATTTCCAAATCATACTTTAGTAGTGCTTTTAGAATTCTTTGTCAATAAATTTTTAACAACCACCCTGAACAATTTGCCTTTATGATAAATGGTCGAACAATTGAGGTTTGAATGTAGTTTTCTACAAAAACACTAAACATCATTTAGATTTATTGGTTAATTATTCACCATCTTTATCCAAATTTGAATCTTTGTGCTGAAAAATGGGAACTCGTAGAGTAACATTTATTTCCCTTTAACCTAATAAGCCTCCCTTCCTCTCCTCTCGCAGTTCATTGTGAAGGGAAGGATGACTTGGTCTGAGATTTAGTTGTGAATTTTTGTTTGCAGTGCTCCCTCTGGAAAGGACTTAATGCCAGCAATTTCAAGCCCTCTCTGGCAGTGAAGATTATAGAGTCTGAGCCATCTCTTCCATGTGGTCAGTGCCCACATCAGGGAATGTTCCTGATGCCAACTTCCTCCACAAGGGAATTAGAGGCACTTTAGGGTGTGTGCAGAGAAAAAGCAGATGTGGATATAGGACAGGAGCAAAACACACCACTGGAAGGTTATTATGGTAAAAAGCTGGACTTGAGAGTAAATTGCTCTGGGCTCACGTAGCAGTTCCACTGAGCATTTTATAAGCATAGTTACAGACTTACAAGCCAATGCTGAAATGCCTGGGTTCAAATCCTTTCATAGCCATTTGGTACCAATATGGCCCTGGCAGATCACTTGCCTTCTCTGTGTCAGTTTTACAGCTGTACCTCCATGTCCCCATGACATTATATACTAAAGTGCCCTGGTTAACTTCTCCTTGTGACCTGCCCCATCCTGAGGTTGCACACCATCATGGCAGCTCCCCAGCACCCCTGTTTTTGCTCATGCAGTGCACCTCCGGCACCTCTTCTTGGGAGGAGAGGTAGTTCTTGGGAGTAGTAGTAGTAGTGCTTCCACATCTCATCCCATCCCATCTCATCAAGAACAGGGTGATACTCTCCTGTGCCATAAGACACTTTTTTTAAAAAAAATTAAAAAGCAAAACGAATCCCTGTAATGTCATATCTTACCAAAATTTCCTCTTTTCAGCCAGGAAATCTGAGTTCATAACCCAATTCTGCCACTTACTTGCTGTGAGCTCTTGAGCAAGTGACTTTACTTCTGTCTGCTGTAAAACAGGAATATACACACCTCATAGAGTCATCATCATTTTAAATGTATCAATATCCACTAAATGTTTACAATAGTCCCTGAAATTTAGAATTCTCTCTATAAATGCAAACTATTACTACTTTTATAAAGGCAATAATAATAATAATCTCTATTTTTAAGTGATTGTCACAGGAGTTGAATGTAATAATGTGACAAAGAGCCTGGCACAATGCCCAGTTCTCAGTTCAGTTCAACAGATTGCGTGTGTGTGTGTGTGTGTGTGTGTGTGTGTCTGTATTAGAACAACATTTTAATTTATCAAAGCAATAATACATCTGAGAAAACAAGGCTAAATTCTAAGAAGCAATTCATTTTTCAAAGGATTCCAAACTGACAGTAGAGAAATAGTAATGCCAAATCTGCAGAAACACATTTTAGGTCATCAGACAATACTCATAATCCTTTATATTTGTAAAGCACTTGACAGCATACAAAGTGCTTTGTGATCCATTATTGCACATGATTGTTGTCTTATCTCAACATGGAAGATAGGGATTTCTTTTTTAACCTCCCTTCTTGTAGATAGGGAAACTCAGAGCCAGAGAGGTGGTGTGACTCAGCCAAGATTTCTGCCACCAAGAAGGGGCAAGCTGGGGTTTAAAGGCAGGGCCACATTGTTCTCAATGCCATGTTCTTTTGGGAATATTCTGGGGCATTCTGACCATCCCAGGAAATGGTTAGCATTTGGCACAGAAGGATAAAGTCTCAGTGTATAGAAATGAAGTTCCAGAAAGGAACCACCTGTTCGCTGTTTTCTTTAAAACTCTCCGTCTGATGGATGATGCTGTGTTCTTTGCTCTGGTCTCCTGAAGAACCCAATAAAGGGGTTGTTTCTCTCAGGGACTCTAATCTGCTGCTCTGTACTTTGACAGGACAGCATGCTGTTGGGATCTGTGTGGGGCTCCAATGTCTTTCTGTTTCTCCTTGGCTTTGCCTGTGCCTGTACTGTTGGCCACTGGAAGCTGTGAAATGTTCAAGGTCACCTTCCTTGTTCCCAGTCCAGGAAGTGGCTTCTTCATGACCCACTTGATCACTGTCTCCAGAAATTCACAATTCTGGGAGAAGGAATGTGCTCAGCTCTGGGTAAAGATACCTCTGCAGAAAGTGATTTCATCTGCCTGTCCTTAAACTCAAATACATAACCAACTCAAGGGACAGAATAGCATGACTTAGATCTTGAAAAGGAACATAGTCATTATTTGCTGAGGTGTGACATCTATGTGGTAGGCACAGTATGTCCTATATGTACAACCTGTGGTGTGACACTCCGGTAGAGAAGAACCCTATGTCCCTGTGTATAGCTCCATGAATCCCATACATTCATCTGGCAGCACTCAGACCAGTAACATAGTTCCCCCTGTAATGCCCATCATTATCTGCCCTGGCTCCCCTGACTTCTGTTGGCAGAGACTGGCCAGCAGCTGAGAGACTCACCTGAAATGAGAGGTTCTTAGGAGAAGAGGGGAGGTCATATTGATGGCTTAGCACTAAAGATAGGACTGAATGACTTTGGACCCTGAAGTTGTGATGAGAATCATGATGTCAACTTACATTTGTTGGGTACCAATTCTGTGCCAGGCTGAGCTCATATTTAATTTTCAGAGCAACTCTGTGTGGTTGGTGCCAGTCCCATTTTGTAGGTGGGGAAACTGAGGGTTAGGGAGGAGGAGGGTCTTGTCCAACATCTCATAGCAGAGGCAGGATCCAGGGAATTTAAACACTGTCCACTACTTTGCTGAGCTCACGGGCTTTCTCTCTTCTTCTAGATTGGCCATCGGGACTTTGATGTAGAGAAGCGACTGCGAAGGGACCTCCGGAGGACTCATGCACTGCTGTCAGATGTCCAGCTCCTTCTGGTAACCGTGGACGATGGCAAGACATCAGTCAGCAAGGAGGAGCTGGAGAAGGTGCACAGCCAGGTGAGTGTTGCTGGGTCCTCTGGGCTAGGAGGAGAAACCCCCCCACCACATATGAGGCACAGGACCCCAGTTTTCAGAGAGGAATCTCTCTGCAGGGAGAGGGGGATATTTTTGGGTTGGGGAAGCAGCATGGTCGGGGGAGGTACCATGTCCTCATTATCTGTTGTCACCTGGTGTTCTCAGGTTAGCTAAGCTCAGTGAAGGACCATCAGCTAACTCCATTTCACAAGTGAGGTGCTCGGTGGCAGAGAGGTGAGATGGTCCACACAAAGGCGTGCAGCTAGAGGATGGTGGAGTCAGAATTCAAACCCAAGTCTTGTGGCTCCACCATCTTTGGCAGCCTCAGAAGAGGACCTGAGCAGCAGGTGTACAGGTGCAGGGGTGGCAAGGCCAGTCCAGGAGCTGGGAACCTCAGGAGACACGAGAATCATGGGTTGTGCCTGCTGCAGAGTGCAGCCCAGGGCAACCAGTGTCGAGAGCTATGAGTGGATCTTGGAGGGCAGAGCAAGCCCCTGGGAGAGAAGCCCCAGGGCTGAACAACATAGCAGGGACTTCAGATTTGCCACTGAGAGTGCTGAACTCTTGCATTTGTTGTTACCTTGGAAGTTACATGCCTTCCCAGGAGAAGGTGTTTTTAATGAGCCCAAGTGGATTCACCACTCTTTTCTCGGAGTATGCTTTTCCTTCCTCCTTCTCCACCTCTACCACTGGCCTTCTGTCGTCCAAGCCACACTACAAGGCTGGGGCCTTCTTCAGCTCCGCAGGTTATCCCCAGGAACTCAGGCAGGTAATCTGTGCTTTTCGTTCTGACTCTCCTGTGTTCCATCATCTCAGGATGCTCAGCTGATCCTTTGCACATACCAAATGTATTTCTGTTCAGTTCAGTTGGATTGTTCTCCTTGCTTTACAAATGAGAAATCAAGGGTCAGAGAGGCCCAAGGTCACATAGCCAGTTAGAGACTGAGCCAGAGCCAGGCCTGGAACCTACATTTCCAGATTCCAAACCTGGTATCTCCTCCCTTCTTTCTGCAGGAAGAGCTCCTGATAGAAAGCAGGTCCCCAGGAAAGCAATGGGAGGCAGTAGAGTAAATCTCCAGGTGTTAGCAGTGGAGTCCCCAGAGCTTCTCCTGCTCCTGGGCCTGCCATCAGTTCCTTCTGTAAAGGGAAGCATTTTGGGTGGAGCTTACGCACCTACCTATAGACCTTAAAAACAACCTACCTACCTCAGACTCAATTTCACCAGTTTCCCTATTAGTGCCTCATTTCCTGTCCCAGGCCCAACTCAGGACACCAGCCTACATCTGTTGTCAAGCCTGGCCATTGTCCTCTGGACAGGAGCAGTTTCTCAGTCTTCCCCTGATTTTCATGACCTGGTCAGCTTGGTGTACTGTCCAGGTGCCCATAGAATGTCCTCTGGTCTGGTTTCACCTGATGGTTTTCTCAATGTAAAGCCGGGTTCATAGGTTTAGGAGAGGAACCCACAGAAACTAAGGCTGAGACACCAGAAGCCAGCAGATCCCACGAGTCTTGGCTGACTTTGTCATCAGTTCATTCTCTTCTCTGATGATGAACCTTCCTGGCTTGTCCAGGATTTTTCTGGCTTCGTTGCAAGGTCCTGTGTTCTGAGCAGGCCCTCAGTCCCAGGAAAACTGTGGGTAGGGGGTGGCCATTCTGCTCTCTTCATGGGCAGATTGGCAAAACAGGTCCCCAGAGCTTGAATGTGTTCCTCACTAAGTCACCATGAGATCCTCCAGGGAGGGGAGGCTGGTTCATGGACATTTAACAGATGGGGAGATTTGGTGCAGAGGAGGCCATTGATGTGTCCAGGGTAACACAGCAGTAAGTGGCAGAGCTGGGATTCGCATCCAAAGCTTGTGAACCTAAGTGCACAATCTGAATATTTTAGCCTCTGGGTTTGTGCGTCTTCCTGCTTGTGGCTAACTGGGTGAGCAGGGACCCCCTGGCTCCTTGGCTTACCTTAGGTGGGCAGAGATGCCCTTGTGCACAGCTAAGGGCCAGGCACCTTGAGTTTTTGCAACCCTCTGGGCTGAGGGGTATGTGACCTGCTCATCTTTCGTCAGAATCTCCCTGCTGTCACAGTGTTCAAGCCTTCCTTCCCCCGCAGGTGACATGAATATACTTGAAAAGGAACGGTGGTGCTTTTGCTTCTTTTTCTTTTTTCTTTTTTTTTAAAAAAAGGATTCATGAGAATCCTCCCTCTGCAGGGTTAAAATGTGTGTTCTTGGGAAATAGTGGTATTTAATGAAGGTGCCTTGAGCTGAATCAAAGAGTCTCATTCTTCTGAAAGTCATCCTCCCCCGTCTCTGCATCCGGCTCGTATCAAAGGGAATCCACAGCCTTGGCTTTCCGCTGCTGTTGTCATGGAAATGGTTATAAGGAGGGATCACATGGACCAGAGGTCAGGGTACAGTTGCTTTGCTCCCAGCACACGTGTCCTGGATGCCAGAGTCAGAGCTAATCAAATAAAGCAGCTATGACATTAGGCATTGCTGCCTCTCCTCTCTGATGGATGGTATTTGTCCTTTGCCTAAAAGCTCCAAGGCCAGAGGCAGGGAGAGCAGACAAGGAAGAGGAGGACAGGGAGTGGGATAACTTTGCTGCTGGCTGCTTCTGAAGTGCTGGCTATGGTACTGAAGACAGCTAGGAACTCATGTATCCAGAGGTACAGCACCTACAATGTATCAGGGCAGGCTAGATACAGGCAATTAAGACAGGCTGGTACTCACTTTTGTGGAACTTTATCTGATGAAAAAGGGTCTCCTTTAGAGTGGGTGGTTAGCTGTGGTACCCTGGGAGGAGGAGCAGGCAGAGACTGCCACACTGAGGCCCTGGCAGCTTAGGATTTTACTCCAAGGTGTGAGAAGCCAGTGGCAGATTCCTATCCCAACCCAGGCTTTTTATTTTTATTTTACTTTATTTTTTTGTTTTGAGACAGGGTCTCACTAAATTGCCCAGGCTGGGTTGGAACTTGGTGATCCTCTTGCGTCAGCCTTCCAGAGTGCTGGGATTACAGGCGAGCACCAGCACACTCAGCCCCATTCATGGTTTAAAGGCTCATTCTTCCGGGAGAGACGGAGTTGAAGAGAGGTTGATAGATGCCCTTAGGAGGCTAAAAAGCCCTTTATGCCTGGAGGAAATGGTCACCTGGGTTGAAGAGTATTGACAGGCCCAGAAGGGAAAAACCTGGGCTCATTTGGAAGTGATGAGACTTGCAGATAAGGTTTGGTTAGTCTAACAGTACATTATTTCAGGGAATCCTTGTCCTGACCCCAGGAGGAGGGCAGATATTCCTGTTTGACCATTTTGATAGGAAGGAAGCAGGCTCTGAGCGACTGAGCGCTTTACCAGAGCACAGAGCTGTGCAAGTCTGGTAGCTGTGAATGACAGCTCTTGCCACTTGGTTTGCCTCATATGGGTCCTATTAACATTTATCAAGCACCTACTGTGTACCACCAGGATTTTCCCCGGTGCCTTGTGGACCCTCCAAATTGGCTGTACATTAGAAAACTCCACCCAAAAACCCTTGATTCCTGGATCCTACTCCCTAGATCTTTTTTTTTTTTTTCTTCAAGTCTGGGTTGGGACAGGATTTGCATTTTTAAACAACTACATCCTGAGCTTCTGATGCTATTCTTAGGACCAGCATTTGGGAACCACAGGCACCCTTTATCCCACAGAACACCCTCTCAAGTTGGGTGGCCAGAGGTCCATCTTTCAGGCGAGGACACTGCCAGTGAGGTGATATTTCTGTGGCAGATCTTAGTCCTGTCTATTTTACGGTTAACTGAATTTTGAGTCAAGAGAAACAGTTCCAGTACTTGTTCATTTTGTGACCTTCAAGCAATGTGACCTCCCCAAGCCCTTTTCCTGAAGTGGAGTGTTGCTGCCACTTCACTCAGGCACTCCTGTGTCTGAGGAGGGAAAAGCTGGTCAGGGCTTCAAAATGAGGACTGGGCCCAGGCCTCTGCAGCTCACCCATGGCCTGATGGATGACGTGGTGGTGGGGAGAGCGTTTGAACACACCTGGTCAGGAGCCTTGTTCATTCCATGTATGGTTTTCACTCAAGGGTAAGCTAGGGGCAGCCTTCAGGGACAAAGAGGAGGTGACAAAGGTCTCTGCCTTAGAGGGGCTCCCAGGCCAGTGAGAAGCAGACCTAGAAGCAGCCTGTACTAGGGCAGGGGGTTGACTCTATTGGATCAGTTGGGTTTGACTAAAGAGGGAGTCTTTAATGTTGCTTTGGGACAGAACCTGGTAATGTCAGCTCTTTTTAAAGATAAATTGCTGGTTAGGGAAGATAGATGTGGGCCTTCTAGGAGGAAGCCACAGTATGTAAAGAGATGGAAGCACCTGGCAACAGGATATACATTCAGCTTGGCATGGCCTTTCTAGGGAGTAAAATGCTCAGGAGGTAAGGATAAAAGGGGTAAGGGGTAGTGCCAGCAATAGAAGCTAGAACCAGCTTATGAATGGTCGAATGATCCCCTGGCTAAATTTATCCCAAAAGTAACAGGGAGCGATAGAAAGCTATTGGGCAGAGGAAGATACCACTGGAAGGACTTGGGAAAAAATGGCACAATTGCAGTCTCTGGCACTGGAGCCCTGATGTGCAGAATATCAGGCTCAACTGGGACCATGGGAGCCCCCTTAGACAAAGCATCTCCTGTCCATAAGGGCAGGCTCCCTTTAGCCCATTGTCCCAACATCTGGAACCTAAGAGAATTGTTTGTTTCTTTCCATCCATTTTATCCCACTGGAAACCTTGGTTGTATCTCAAGGGACAATTGTGGTGGGAACCCTTCCTGGTGACACACAGAGGACTCCGAGAGGCCATGGAGAAGTAGCTCACCTGTAGGGTTCAGATCCTGTGTCTGCTATTCAGTAGCTCTGTGATCTCAGGCAAGGCACCCTGCCTTTCAGAGACCGTGATTTCTTAGCTAATAAGGGGCTGAATACTTCCGGCTGATTAGGTTGGTGTATG